TTGCCCTGGAGGCCAGCAGCATGTCAACGGCCGCCGCGTGACCGCCTCTCGAGGCCGCAATCAAAGGTGTGGCATTGCCAGCGCCCTCCGCGGCACGGTCGACGTCAGCCCCTGCGGTGTCGAGCAACATTGCCACGACCTCCGTGTGCCCCGCAGCAGCTGCCAGCAGCAGCGCGAAGGCACCATCTGATCGGCGGCCCCTGGTCGGATCCGCTCCTGCACCGAGCATCATCTGCACCACGGGCACGTGGCCGTTGGCCGCGGCTCCCATTAACGCCGTGGACTCGTCCAAAGCGCGAGCCGTGTCTGGGTCCGCCCCGCCCTGCAGCAGCGAGTCGACGACGTCCACCCAGCCGTCCGCCGCAAAAGCGACCAGCTCCGGCTCGCCCGCCCGCACCTGCGCGTTTGGAGGTGACGCTGGATCCATGCGCCTGCGGTGTGCGCTCAACTCGGCCGCCAGCGCCTCGTCGCTAGTGTCTCCCGCGCCGCCTTGACCAGCTGCCTCGCCGGCCCGCAAGGCAACGCCCGCAGCCGGGGCCCTGCGCTGGCAGAGCACCGCGGTCAGAAGGGAGCGCCCCACGATCGGTCGCAGCAGTGCGTGCTCGGCACCCCGCCACCGCCAAGCTGCCACGGTCAGCGCAAGCGCAAATGCCCACGGCACGGCACGTGCCACGCCCATCGCGCACCTCTGTGGTCGCTGTCCCTGCGCTCCGCAAGGCCTTTCGCGAGGCCTCCGCGGTCGCTGTTCGCCAATTTCGGAGGCGGCGCGCTGGCCGCCAGACCCCAGGCGGCTTGAGCCAGGCCAGCCTGAGCCGCAATGCCTACTCCAAGAAGTTCCATAAGCATGGAAGGATGGATCGCCTGGGAGGTGAATCAGGAGGCGGGCTGTCGTCAACGAGGAGCGGCTGAGTTGGAGCGCGTCAGGGGGGCGGGTCCGGTGCTCGCAGGGGGGAGGCCAGAGCGACCCGTCGGGTCAGACGGCGCGGGAAGGCTGCCTATTGCAACAGCTGGGGATGCGGCATGATCGCCATGAAAGAAATAGGTTCTGAGAGAAACGGGTCCTGAGGTCTTTTGCCGTTTTCGGGCTCTCGGGGCTTTTCCTGGGCCCTGGGACTGTCAAAAACGAGCCTGGACGAAGCACTGGTCCTGGGGGAAAGCCCCGGGGTCGAAGACCCGTTCCCCTCAACACAACTTTCCTTCATACCAAAATGAGGATGGAGCGGCGGGGGAGGACGATGACGCGACACGAGGAGGCCTCTCTCCTCTCCCCTCTCCCCTGCTCCCAGGAGGATCAGAGACGACCTCGTGTGTGAGTATGTGCTCGTCTGTGTGTGTGTGTGTGTGTTGTGCCCTGCACATGCCCTATCCGCCAGCGCAGTCACTCTGCCTATCCGCCGACGCAAAAAGTGTGTGTGTGTGTGTGTGTGTGTGTGTGTGTGTGTGTTTGTGTGCTCGAAGGAACGGTCACTGGCGATGCACACGTTCCCAAGCTTTCAGCTGATCTGCCGGGGCCCACATATCCTGGGGATGGGGGCGACGGGCGGAGTCCCCGCGGCGATGTTGACCACGGCGTTGACAGCACAGAGCCGATCGTCATTCCATCCGCACCACTCCCAGAACCGGCCTGAGGACTCGGCTTCTCGCAGGCAAGAACATCGACGTCATGCCCGTGCAAGCCATGCGGCATGCCGTCGGTCGGTTCTAGACATCCTGACCAGGACCGCGGAAGCGGTTCCACGACTACGCCGTGAAGAGCGAGGCCACCCGACGACGTGTCTTCCCTCGACAGTGGTGGCGGAACGAGCTGTTAAAATTCCTTCGGGAAGGAAGGGGAGAAACTCCCGGCCGGGGAGGGAGCGGGTGGAAGACCCGAACTTCCAGCGGATAAGCACGATCACGACGGCTATTTTTGCTTTTTTTTCGAGCCGCTTGAAGCCCGTTTCGGGCCCCAAGATGATCGAATTCGCCGGCCCAACGGGCCAGAGGCGTGCTAAGACCTCTCCAGTAACTGGTTAACAAAATATTTCTAGTTCGCGCGCGCGGGGCGGCCCCTGGGGGCCCCCTGGCGAAAAGTACCCCGACCGCAGCCCGACCACTGCTACCCAGAGATGGTTTTCCTCCTGGGTGTGGCTTCTCAGGCCCCCCAGAGCGCGCCAAGAGTGCCCCAAGAGGCCCCCAAGACTGCCCAAAGGGCCCCCGAGACGCCCAAAGAGCGCTCCAAGACGCCGATGATGACCCCAAGACGGCCCAAGAGGCCTCTAAGTGGCCTCCAAGAGGCCTCACAAGAGGGCCCCGAGAGGCCAAACTCATACATTTTACGATGGTTTTGAAGGATTTGGGCCTTGTCCCCGTTTCGGCCATCCGATGCTCCAAGACGGCCCAAGAGGCCCCCAAGAGCGCCCCAAGACGGGCCAAGAGGCTTCCAAGAGGGCCCCAAGAGGGCCCAAGAGGGCCCCGAGACGGCCCAAGAGCCCCCCAATTTCGGCCCCAAGAGGGGCCTAAGAGGGGGACCACGGACCGAAACCTCGAGCCTTCCGCCCCAAGAGGGCCCCAGGAGGCCCCGAGAGGCCCCCGAGAGGCCCAAAGATGCCGCCAAGAGGCCCCAGGAGGCCCCCAGGAGGCCCCCCAGAAGGCTTCAAACATGCCTCCCAGGCGCCCCCGAACGGCTTCTCAAAAGATCCCAAGAGGCCTCCCAAAGAAGCATCTTGACGACGACCCTGTTTGGCCCCAAGAGCAACACAAGATGCCAACGAGAGGCTTCCTCCTCCGCCCATTCCTCTTCCTCCTGCTCCTCCTCCTCCTCCTACTTATCTTCATCCTCCTCCTCTCCTTCTCATCCTCTCCTCCTCCTCCCCCCCTCCCCTTCCCCATCCTCATATTCTTCCTCCTCGGCGGCGCCACAATGGCCCCGGGCCCACGGCGAAGCAGTAGCGATCATGCAACATGGGCCGGCGGAATGAGCGAAGCGATTGAATGACAACCTGAGCGAAAACACTATACCAGGGACAGGGCCGGAAACTCTGGGGCCCACTGTCTTACATCATCACGACGTCGGAGGTCAGGAAAATAGGGACACGTATCGAAGTTGTTGAATGTGTTTCTTTCTTGTCGGGCTGCAGAAAGCTTCCTGGAACATCTAGAGGTCTCTGCTGATCTCCAGCTAGGGATCTCTCGGGAGAGGAGGGGGTTAGGCGAGGGCGAGGAAGGACACGGGAAACTGAGAGATGGAGGCGGAGGGATACGGGGAGAGCGGGAGGAGGAGGAGCGCAGTTGGGGTGATAGGAGGTTGAGGGGGAACATATGTGGTGTGGAAGATGTTGAGGGTCAGGGTGGAGGGGAAGCCGGAGGGGGAGTGGGAGGCGGTGAGGAGAAGGGGCGAGGTAGGGGAGGAGGGGAGAGATGAGGGAGGCAAATGGGACTGATGGGATAAGGCTGGGGAAAACGATGAAGCTATGGGAGATGTTGTGGGTGACGGTGTTCCGGGGGGGAGTGAAGCTGCGGAGTGGGAAGGGGCCGCTGCCCACCGACGCCTTTGCAACAATGGCACATGGGCTGCTCTTCCATGCCCCTCTGGACCATTCGCCTTCCCCTCAAGCCCAGTGCCCTTGTTCATGGCCGAGCAAGGAAGGGGAGAAATGGGCGGTAAAACGCCCCATCAAGTCACGGTCACGGTCACGCTTACGGTGACGATCGCGGTCGCGATCACGGTAACGGTCACGGTCACTGCCACGGTAACGGTCGCGGTCAGGGACGCGGACGCGGACACGGCAACGGTAACACTCAGAACAATGGTGACAATAACGGCTGCGATTGAAGATGACGGCAACGGTAATGGTAGTGGTGATAATTGTTATCGGTAACGGTCGCGATTGCGATAACGGTAACCGTAACAAGAACGGTTACGGTCACGGCCACGGTCATGGTTACGGTCACGCCAACGGTCACGGTCACGGTCGCGATCACGGTAACGGTTAGAGTAGCGGTCACGGTCACTTCACCCGTCGTCGAATGATTACATTAATTTTGCGCCGTGTGTGGTGTCGAGTCAAATATTTCCACAACCGCGGGCGACATCTTATTTAGCCGATGGCGAATGGCAATAATCTTGCGCAGATAAGGTTCCCCCGAATGCTATTCATTCAGTCCGTGGTGCATTGAGCCCAGTCCCTCACTAACACCGACGTCGAATGAATATATACCCATCTATATAAAGATGGGGTCTATCTATCTATCTATCTATCTATCTTTCTTTCCTTCTATCTATATATATATATATATATATATATATATATTTATATATATAGACATATATATCTATATATCTATCTATCTATCTATCTATCTATCTATCTATCTATCTATATTTCTATTCATCTATCCCCAGGAGGAGGGCCAAGCATGCTCCCCCCCCAAACTGGCGAGCACCAGCCAGGAGGAGCACGCTTGGGCACCTCGGGAGGCACAAGTCCGTCCCCCCCTGGGAGAGCCTGTCGGGGGCGAGGTTCTGGCTCAAGGCGGATCCCGAGAGGCTCAACGCACCGAGGACCGCCAGACACACCAGCCTCGCAAGAGGCCACGCCGATCGTTGTCGGGCGGGCCAAAGTGACTACGGGTTTAAACGTGGTTTAAACGGCGAGCGCTTCCTGGGGTCTGGGAGCCGCATAGGCCCCCTTTAAAGGATACCATATGCTAACTCCACTCCCTGTTTTTAGCGTTCCGCCAGGAGTCGCTTTGGTCAGGGCCGGGCCCCCCCCGACAGGCCTCCCCAGGAGGAGGGCCAAGCATGCTCCCCCCCAGGAGGAGCACGCTTGGGCACCTCGGGAGGCACAAGGCCGTCCCCCCTGGGAGAGCCTGTCGGGGGCGAGGTTCTGGCTCCACGGACCCTGAACTGGCTGTACAGCGAACTCCACCACCGTGACCCGAGACTCTCACCCCATCGAAGGTTGATCAAGATGGGACAGAGAGGGACGAGAAGGGAGGGCAGAAAACGAGCGGCGTGTTTACCTCACTCGGCTTGCCAGATGTAGGCAGGCGGCGCGCTGGTCTGGCAGCAGCGCGAGCGTCGTCGCCTCAGCGACGGCGTCCTGGACGTACAGGCGCGCCGTCCGCACACTGGCCCAGCGCCCTCGGAGCAGCGTGGTCTCCATCGACCCGTGCGAGCGGAAGTCGGCGCTGGCACCTCCTCGCCTCCAGCTGTAGAGGGTGAGCCTCTGGTCCTCCAGCTGGAGGCACAAGCGGATCTCCGCGAACACTCGCTGGAAAGCAGCGGGCGGCATGCCAATGGCTGGCTCCTCGCACCGGCTGGCAGTCCCTGCCAGCTCGCGTGCCTTCAGTAGCAGCGCCACTGCTGTCTGCGAGCGCACCATGACGAACTCTCCCGCTCCTGTCTGGTGCTGGCTCTTGGTGTCGCGCAGCCTGATCATGGCTGAACCTGAATTCTCATACATAGTGATGTCGTGCCAACGCAGCGCCATGATCTCCCCCGTCCTGAGGTACGTGTCATAGGCTGCCAGCAAGATGGCGGCGGCGGCTGGGACTCCAGCCGTGAGGAAGCCGCCGGAGAACGCCAGTGCGATGAGCGGTGCGATTGGGAGCGCACGCCCTGCCGGCTCAGCACGCTGCCACGTGCGAGCCAGGCGCCAACTCTCTCGGAGTCGACCGCGGAGCGGGGGGAAGTGGTGGCACATACCTGCGATGGCACAGTTGACGTCGAGCAGGGACCCTCCTGCGGCCCAGCGCCCTTCAATGTAGTCAACCAGGCCCATGTCCGCTTGCGCTGCAGATTGGACCTCGCGCTTCTGCTCGACCCACCAGTCAAAGACGCTGTCAACCGCCTCCTGGTAGCGCTTCCGCGCGAGAGGAGTGCCCGCCAGCTCTCGCAGGGGCCTGCTGCGGGCGGCTGTCCTTCGCGCCAGAGCCTTCGCTGCCACTCTCCTCACCTTGGCCGCTGCGCGCCCCTGTCCACCGGGAGGGGACGTCCGCGGGCATGTCGTCCGTGTCGCAGTAGCCGTACATCGAGTAGCAGTTGGTCGCGAGCGTGAGCGCATTGAAGCGCCTGATCCCTGGTTGGAGCCGCCAGGCGCTGGACCTGCACTTCGTGCAGACTGCTGCCACCGCGTGGGCATCGAGAAGATGCAGGTAGCGGCAGCCGTGCTTCGCCACGTCTCTGCAGCGCCACCTGGCTCCAGCCACTGCGGCCTCCAGCTCCAACTCAGAGATGTGAGCTGGTCGCTGCCACCTGAAACTCTTGGCAATGCGCCAAGCCCACAGCGACGTCCGCAGAGCCGACCTTGGCCACGCCCGAGCTCGGTATAGGGCACCACAGTCAAGCCTGACGTCCGTGCCTCCCCGATCGGCTATGCGTAAGAAGTCGACGATGAGCCCCCGCTCAGCGGTAGCGTGCCTGTAGCCAGGAGTCTTGAAATCGGCGTCGATGTTCCAGTTGGGCTCCCGCTCGCCGACTTGCAAACACAGCTCGGCGGGAAGCGGAGCGGACAAAGCCCCAATTTGAGCCAGCCAGCTGCCGAAAAGGAACATGATGCACTGGACACAGAACGTATTACCGACAAGGCATTCCATGATGATGTCTCTTTCTGCCGAGGGGACGCTATCCTTGACGGCTGCTTCAAAGTACCGCCTATCAAACCCAATGAGAAACCCCGCTCCTAAGCGACAGGGGGCCTACCTTGCGCTCGATCGGCGCTCCAGAGCAGCACGGCATCCTCATACTTGTTGACTTGATAGCGGTGCTGATCTGTGGCCCAGCGCGCCAGCGCAGTGGGGCTGGCACGCTCCAGGCCGACAGGCCTCAGCGGCGGGTGTCGCCGTGGTACTGGCCTGGTGAAGCAAGGAAGGTCCACCTCAGGGTCGTCCAGCCTCCAACCTGGCAGTGGCCAAAGGTCAGCAGCGGCGCGCTCCACGCTGACCTCAACCTTGGTATACTGACTGATGCCCTCGCTCTTCACCTCGATGCTCGTGCCGTGCGGAAGGTGACTGCAGGCGGGCCAGGAGCACCAGAAAAGACGGGGCCTGCGCACCCTGGTGAAGTCCTTCGCCTCAAACAGCACAGGCGTGACGCCCAGCGCCTGCGAGAACTGGCCCCTCGCCTCGGCGCCCATGCTGAACACGTTCTCGACGAACCAATCGACGTGCGTGCCGAACACGCGTTTGGAGGCTTCGATGAGGGCAGCGACCTTCCAGAATAACTTGCTCGTATCCCCTTTCCAGGCCCTTGCCCACCACGTTGAGGGTAGAGAGATCCTGGCACGGACTCCCTGCAATAATGAAGACCCAGTCGGCGTCGCGCCTGAAGCCCTCCAGCATGCGGGTGAAGCGCTCAAGGTCCAAGGCCTCGATGTTGCCCAGCTCGATGACACCTGGCCACCGCCGCCGCACCAGCCGTCGCGCTGCCGGCTCTACCTCCGAGCAGAGGTGGGCGGCCACGCTCATGGGCAGGCGATGCGCGGCCACGGCAGCGGCAGCAGCCCCGGCGAACAACTCCACTAAGATGACGCGGGGCCGCCATCGTACCATCTGAGGCGCAGCGAAGGTGGTGTGCACGGCCTCCTCGCACAGTCCTCCTTCGCCAGTGGCGGCCTGCACTCCCCGAGCGGTGAGCCCAGCAGAATAGCAGATGCCGCCCGCCTGTTCGCTCGCATCCGTGGCTATCACCCCCGTGTCGATCTTGGCCCGCAAGTCGGTGAAAGCTAAGGGGAGGGCCATGCAGAAGACCAGGAGCTCGCCGCACATGACAGAGGGCACAGCTTGCGGGTACCGCCACTGCCCAGCCGCCCAGCACTCGTTCAGGAACCCCATGAACGGCCGGCGGAACTCCGCCACGCGCACACAGCGGCCCAGCACCACAAGCATTGCCTTGACCGTGACCTGCGGCTGGCCCATCACCCACATCACGAGCGCTAAGAGCAGGAGCTGCTTCTCAACTGTGACTCCGACTCGCCCGACCATGCCGTCTAGTCCAGCACGCATGCGCTCCAGGACGAGCTCGCGGTGCTTGGCCTTGCCTTCAGCAACTCGGATGCCGCCCCTCTTGTAGGCGGCTCGCTGCTCAGCCTGGACCTCGCTAAGCGTGCCGCCCAGCTCATTCAGGCGGCTACTCTGGACGATCTCCCCGTGGTCCCAGTCGTCCATGTAATACTGCACCCAGGCTTGCTCCAGCTCTGTCGCTCTCAGGGGCAACGGGCGGTCCTTCCTCCATTCAGCTCGGGGAGGGAACCCTGCAGCAGCCCAAAGCCGAGCCGCCGATGGCAGTGCTGGAAGACTGTAACAGCATTGACCCAGCCCAGCGGGATGACACGCAAAGCGATGTGCGTCTTCCCTGCGCCGTTGACCCCGATGAGCTTGTTGGGGATCGCCTCAGCTAGGGTCATGTAGGGCTGCCACGCCTTGGGCAACTCGTAGCAGTAGAATGCTGATGCCTGATCGTCGGAAGACCACAGCAGCACATGTCCCTCAGGAAATGGAAATCGAGACCCACGACGGCGAGGCGCTGATGGTACCGATGTCATCCCGCATCGTCCGCTGGTAGCTGTTTGCGGGGACCATGTTGATGATGAGCCGCTGCGCCACATCATGACCAGGAGTGGGAGTTCCTCCCTTGGCGACCCCGAAAGAACCTGCCAGCACCTTCCTGTTGCCCACCTTGAAGATCGGGTCATCGGCGATGGGCACCGCGAGGCCTAACTCCACCAGCTTGGCGCCGATGCGATGCCACTCTGCCTTCGAGCTAGCCTGGATGGCTGCCCGCGGGACCTCCTCCGGCCACTCGGCCTTGGGCAGCAGTGCCAAAGTGGGATCAGCCAGCCACCCAGCCACGCGCTCGTCGGCGATGTCCAGCGCACGCACTGAAGCAGCAACGCCCCTCGGCGGGAGGCCTGGCATGGCGCCTCCCAGCGTGAGCGGCAGGGCCCGCGATACCTCCTCGCCTCCGTGCGTGATATCACGTGCAGCAACGACCTCATGCCAGTCAGGAACCTGGAAGTCCTTCGCGGAGTCTGTGGACGGCACCTCATAAACCCAGGAGCGCCAGGAATGGGAAGCGGCAGCACCTCGCGCATCCGCGCGCGGCGCGCTCGCTGTACTGGCGGAGCGCTACGAACAAACCTCCCGACATCTCCTGGGGCACCGTGCACCGCCTCGTAGAACATCATGACTAGCTCGAACCGTGGCCGCCCTCCTGGCCTCCCTGCGCTGGCGAGTAGCTTCCTCCAGCGGCGGCTCTGCGCAGGTCCTAGTAGGCGCTGCTCCTCGCGTGCGCCCTCCGCGCCTGCATGGCTGCCAGCAGCAGTTGCCGCTCTCTGGCCTGCCTGGCCGGGGCTCAGCGCCTCTCTGGGGCCCAGGGCTGCCTCGCTACCTTGGTCCGGGTTGCGCCGCGCCCGCGGCCTGGAGCAGCTCCTCGTCCTCGACCTGCTGCCGCTTCTCCTCCTGGCCCGCTCCGGCGAGCCATCTTCGAGACGACCAGGCGCGACTTCCAGTCGCGGCGACTCTCGTCGGGGCGGCGGGGGTTCGCAACCTTCGACTCCTTCCAGGTGAGCTGAGGACGAGGGTCCGCTGCCGTGCTGTCGGGACTCCCATCCGCGATGGCTGGCAGCTCTGGAGGTAGCCCGCTCTGCACTGCTGCTGCTGCTGCTGCTGCTGGGCCCTCGCTGAGCCTTGGAGATCCTGGCGCCGAGCGTGGGGCAGTCCTCCGCTTTGCTAGGGCTGCGCTGCTGACTCCCGCTGGGGCGCGGCTCGCCAGGATCCGCAGCGCTGCAGCAGAACCCGCCACGGGCGTCGCTGCCGGGGACTGGGGTCTCGCCTCCGCGAGACTGTGGCCAGCAGGAGCCGCTCCCCCCCAGGCTGGAGAGGGCTCCTGGCCAAACCCCTGGCCCGACAGGAGTGCTTTCTTGTCGGCGAGGCGGCGTTTAAGCTCGGCGACCTTCATCTCGCGCGCCTCCGCCCGCTCGGCTGCAGCCTCCTCGTCGCGGGACGCGCCGGCGGGCAGGCTCTCGCTGGGGGTCAGTGTGAGCCGCCGAGCACTGCGCCAATGGCCATCCCGCAACGCCATCGTCCTGGCCTTGAACTCCTGCGTGAGCAAATCGCTGACCTCGACGACCTGGCCGCGGAGCAAGCCGTCGATCGCCTCGCCCAGCGTCCGCAGTGCCCGCGCCTCGTCCACGTCGAGCGTCCGCGGTGGGTGTGCCACGAAGAACACCATGTTGAGGTGCTGCGTCACGCACGGGCCGAGGGGGTCTGCCTGGCTGGGGTCGGCGAGCAGTTGAGTGAACTGGCTCCTGAGGTGCGCCGGCCCGTTCTCCAGGAGGACCCCCGGCCGCTGCTTCGCGATCCGCTGGAACAAGTCGCGCCTGACGTTGGCCCCCTGATTAGTGTCGCGATCCAGCGCGCCCGAGCCCTCGTCGTTGAGCTCGCTGCCATCCTCGCCGCCCAGCAGCGTTGCCGTGAGCATCGCGGCCAGCCTCTCGCGTCCAGCAAGCGCAGCAGAGACTCGAGCGCCACTCCCCGCGGCCGTGTGTTCCTGCACGCGCTGCGCCAGTGCCCGAGCAGCGCCAGGCATGGCAGCATTCTTGGCGACCGCTCGGGCCCCCGAGCCGCCGCCAGTGCTGCCCCGCAGCCGCTGGCCGAGCTGGGCCAGGCGCCCGTCCAGGGCTGGGTCCTCGAGCGCCCGCTCCAACCCTGCGACCTCTGCGTCTGAGCGGGCTCCCGCCGAGTGCCGCCGCGCCACCGAGAGCAGCGCTCGGCTCCTCCTTGCGGGCCCGCTTGGCCGCGGGCTCGCCCTCGCCGCCATCGGCCCCCTCCGTCATTGGGGGCGGGGGCTCCGGCAGCGGCGGCAGCGGCGCAGGCGGCGTCCCAGCATGCCGCGCGGCGCCCTCGTCGCCAGAACCAGCCTGGCTCGCCCCAGGCGTCGGGCAGCCAACGGACTCGACGCGCAGCCCTCCAGCGGCCCGCGGGGCGAGGTGGTATTCCGCTTCCAGCGTCTCCAGGTCGCGGGGGTCGACCACCCGCCAGATGTCGATATGCTCGACGCCTCCGGCGCCGATCGGGCAGCCCGCCGTGCACTCCTCCTGTGGGCGGCCGCAGAGGTGGCACAGCGTGCCCTGGAGCCTCCCGCCCGGCTTGCCCTCGGCCTGGGCATGCCAGCTGAAGTGCCCGTCGGTGGCCCCCACGTGCTGCGCCCGCAGGTAGCGGCCGCCCGCCGAACCCGCATCTGCAGTGGTCTCGTCCAGCGCGTAGGCGATCTCCACGCGCGGCAGCTCGCGGCCCTGGGCGCGGCCCTCGTAGTCGCGGACCTTCACCTCCAGTTGATCCCCAGCAGCCAGCCCCACGGACCCCAACAGCTCGCCGTTCGACCTCCCATCGAACCATGCGCCCCGAGGGAACGGCCAGCGGGGCCCACGAGCGCGCATCCGCCGCCAGTGCCTCACGGCACCATACACACTCCTCTTAGGGCGGTGCCGGGAAACTGGGGACTGCGGCCAGGGGAGAGGGGGGCTGCCGCTGGCCGCGAGCAAGGCGGGGGGGGGGAACCTCGCCCCGAGGTCCCCCCACTCTCCTGCCCCAGAGGGGCCTAAGCCAAAGTGGCTACGGGATTGAACGTGGTTTAAACGGCGATCGCTTCCTGGGGTCTGGGAGCCGCATAGGCCCCCTTTAAGGGATACCATATATATATATATATATATATATATATATATATATATCTATATATATATATAGTTATATATAGATAGATTGCGCGCGGCGCGACGTCGAGTGGCATATATTTCCCCGTCGTCAAGTTCAGTGCGCCTCCCCGACGTCGAGTGAAAATATCCTTGAGCAACGAATGTTCCCTCGAAGGGTATTCACTCAATCAAAGGTTGATTCAAGCCATTCGCCCACTAACTCCGACGCCGAATGCACAGTGCCCATTGCGCGCGGCGCGACGTCGACTGTACAATTTTTCAACGGCGCCGGTCGTCCATTCATTCCAACGTCGAGTGGCAAAAATTCTTTTGCGCGCGGCGGAAATATCAGTGGTGCGAGTTCTGTCGTGCAATCTGTATTGTGTAATCTGTGTGATGCGCTCACCCTCCATGTGCTGCACTCACTCACTCCCGCCCGCCCGCCCGACCCGTCCGTCAGGGTCCGCCCGCCCGACCCGCTCGCCCGGCGTGGTCCGCCCGCCCGAATTGCCCGTTGGGTTTGCGTCGTTGTGATTGATGTCGTTGCCGTCGTCTTCGGTGTTTTCGTCGACGTCGTCGTCCTCGTCGCCATCGTTGCGTGCGTCGTCGTTGTCAGCATCGGTCGTCGTCGTCCTCGCCGCCCTCGTCGTCGCCACTGTTGATGTCGTATTGCTATTTTAATGCCCCTCCTGACCCGACCCGACCGTCAAGGTCCGCGCCCGACCCGCCCGTCAGGGCCCGCCCGCCCGACCCGCCCGTCAAGGCCCGCCCGCCCGCCAGGGTCCGTCCGCTCGACCTGCCCGTTGGGTCTGCGTCGTTGTCTTTGATGTCGTTGCAGCTGTTTTCGATGTCCTCATGTCCTCGTCGTCGTCGTCGTCGTCGGCGATGTCGTGCTCGTCGGCCTCGTCGTCATCGTTGCGGTCGTCGTCCTTGTCGGCCTCGGTCGTCGTCCTCGCTGAAATCGAAGCCGCCGCCGTGGATGTCGCAGTGGGCGGGCTGCACACTACTTTGATGTCCCGCCGAACCCGACCCGACCCGCCCGATAGGTCCGCCAGACCGACCTGTCCATCAAAGTTCGTCCGCCCGCCCCGCCCGTTGCAGTCCGCCCCGCCCGCCTGACCCGCCCATTAGGGTCCGCCCGCCCCGCCAGCCCGCTAGGGTCTGCCCGCACGACCCGCCCATTGGGTCAGCGTCTTTGATTTGGGTGTCGTTGCAATCGTCTTCGATGTCACCGTCGACGTCGACGTCGTCGTCCTCGCCTTCGTCGTCGTGGTCGTGGTTGTCGTCGTCGTCGTCGTCGTCGTCGTCGTCGACGTCCTGCTCGTCGGCCTCGTCCTCATCGTGGCGTTCGTCGTCCTTGTCGGCATCGTCGTCGTCGTCTTCGTCGTCGTCCTCGCCGCCCTCGTCGTCGCCACCATGGATGTCGCAATGGGTGGATAACCCACTCCTTCAATGTCCCTGCCCGACCTGACCCGCCCGCCCGACCCGCCCGTCAAACTCCGCCCGCCCAACTCACGGTCCGGGCCCGCCCGCCCGACCAGTCCCGTTAGGGTCCGCCCGCCCAACCCACCTACTTGGGTCCACCCGCCCAAACTGGCCTTTGGGTCAGCGTCGTTGCCTTGGATGTCGCTGCTGTCGGCTCCGGTAACCTCGTCGTCGTCGACGTCGTCTCCCTCGCTGTCGTCATGGTCGTGGTCGTGGTCGTGGTCGTCGATGTTCTTGTCGTCGGCCTCGTCGTCATCGTTGCGTTAGTCGTTATTGTCCGCCTCGTCGTCTTCGTTTTCGCCTCTGTGGATGTCGCAGGGCGGATTGCGCACTATTTTAGATTCCCGCCCGACCCGGCCCGCCCGCCCGCTGGTGTCCGCACGCCCGACCCGTCCGTCAGGGTCCGCCCGCCGAGCCGCCGGTTACGGTCCGCCCTCTCGACCTGCCCGTCAAGGTCCACCCGTCGTCGTCGCCGTCGTCGTCGTCGTCGTCGTCGGCGTCGGCGTCGTCGGCGTCGATGCCCTGGTCATCGGCCTCTGCGTTATCGTAGCGTTCGCCACCCTTGTCGCCCTCGTCGCCGTCGTCCTCGCCACCCTCGTCGTCGCTTCCGTGGATGATCTGGTGGGTGGGTTGCCCGCTACTTCAATGCCCCGCCTGACCTGACCCGCCTGCCCGCTAAGGTCCGCACGTCCGACCCGCCCGTCGGTGCCTGCCCGCCCGACCCGCCCGTCATGGTCCGCCCGCCCGACCCGCCCGTTCGGGCAGGGACGCCCGACGTGCACGCCCGCTTGGGCTCGTTAGCCCGACCCGCCCGTTGGGTCAATGTCGTTGTCTTTGATGTCTTTGCCGTCGTATTCGATGCCACCGTCGTCATCGTCATCGCCCTCGCCTCCGTCGTCCTCGTGGTCGTCGTCGTCGATGTCCTGGTCGTCGACCTCGTCCTCATCGTTACGTCGCTCTCGCCGTCTCGTCGTCTGCTCCGTGGATGTCGCAATGGGTGGATTGCCCACTACTTCAATGTCTCCGCCCGACCCGACCCGCCCGCCCGCTAAGATTCGTTCGGCCGGCCCGCCCGTCAGGGTCCGCCCCGCCCGCCCGACCCGCGGGTCAGGGCCCGTTCGCCCGACCAGCCCATAAGTGCCCGTCCACCCGACCCACCCGATAGGGTCCGCCCGCCCGACCTGTCAATGAAGGTCCGCCCGCGCGCCCGCGAGGGCCCGCCAGCCCGACCTGCCCGTCTGGTCAGCGTCGTTGTCTTTGATGATGATGATGATGATGATGATGATGATGATGATGATGATGATGATGATGATGATGATGATGATGATGATGATGATGATGATGATGATGATGATGTGTGTGTGTGTGTGTGATGGCGTCTGCGATTTCTCCGTCGTCGTCGTCGTCCCAGCCTCCGTCGTCCTCGTGGTCGTCGTCGTCGTCGTCGATGTCACAGGTGTGCCGCGGTGTTCGCAGGATTGCTATCATGTGTGCAAGCGTGTTGCAGCGATCGACTGCATGCTGTGGGGCTCGCAAGCTACTGCGGCGACAACAGGCTCGAGGGGATGGCGCTTCCGCCTGTCCTTTCCGAAGTGTAAGTGCTACGGCTACAATGACGACGCATACGTTCACCAGAACAAATGCGACTACTATACTACTACGAGAACTACTTACTACAAAGACGACGACAACGGCGACGACGACGACGACTACTACTACTACGACTACTACTATTACTACTACTACAACTACTACAACTACTACGACTACTGCTACCACAACTACAACTACCACAACCACTCCTACTGCTGCTACTTTTACTACTACTACTACTGCTGCTATAACTCCTCCTCCTCCTCCTACTAGTACTACTACTACTACTCGTACTCCTATCCTTATTCCTTATTCGAATATACTCCTACTCCCCCCTCAGGCCGGCCATTAGGGGCCGCATCCGGGGGGTCCCATCCTAACCTGTAAAAAACAATACAAAATCAACATTTTTCTTATTTTTTCCTCTCGACATGGACGTCTTGTCGTCCACGGCGATAATCCATTGCAAAAAATACCACAAAGAGCACACGCGCGCGTTCATGTCAGAATCCTACCGAACACCTTGTGTTTGCAAGCATTTCAACATAAAAACATCAAAAACCCAATGCTTTTTCACAAAAATTGTACAAATTTCCCGCCCGGGCTCTCTTGCTGAAATCATAGGAAAACCATAGGAATCTGAAGAATTCGGTCAAATCCAGCGATTTCGCGTCATCGCGCGGTGCACTCGCGATGCTCTGTCATGCACCCAGGCCGCGAATCCTGTGCAAAAAATACAACAAAGAGCACACTCGCGCGTTCATGTCAGAATCCTACCGAACACCGTGTGTTTGCAAGCATTTCAACATAAAAACATCAAAAACCCAATGCTTTTCCCGGAAAGGGCCTGGGCCCAGGGTTCTCTTTTAGTGGGTAAACCTGTCCCCCGGTGCCAACTTGAAGGAGGCCGGCGAATTTTTTCCCTGATAAATAACGAGGTCGAAGGAGGCCGGCGAATTAAAATTTGAGGATGTCTCGAGCGAAACGCTTGTTTTTGAAATCCCGATCGATAAATCACAGGGTGCGGGCCACTTTTTCGTGTGTTGAGGATGTCTCGAGCGAAACGCTTGCTCCGCAGAGTTTGCCGAGGATGTCTCGAGCGAAACGCTTGTTTTGCAGAGCCGACCGCGACGCGGAAAAGCGCCCCGCGCGAAGGAATTTCGATGATGTCTCGACTAATTCGTTTGCTTTTGTACGATTTCCTGGAATTTTGGCAGGATGTCTCGAGCGAAATGCACGACCCCACCCTAGCACGACCATACCCCAGCACGACCACACCCCAGCACGACCAGACCCCAGCACGACCCCACCCCAGCACGACCCCACCCCAGCACGACCATACCCCAGCACGACCACACCCCAGCACGACCCGACCCCAGCACGACCCTACCCCAGCAAGACCACACCCCAGCACGACCACACCCCAGCACGACCACACCCCAGCACGACCACGCCCCACGACCACGCCCCAGCACGACCACGCCCCAGCACGACCACCCCCAGCACGACCACACCCCCAGCACGACCACCCCCAGCACGACCACGCCCCAGCACGACCACACCCCAGCACGACCACTCCCCAGCACGACCACACCCCAGCACGACCACACCCCAGCACGACCACACCCCAGCACGACCACACCCCAGCACGCACGACCCGATCGATA